ATACTCCTACTCTGAGAACAAAGGGCCGGCCTGCCCACGCGGCGCCTCCTTCAGGATATCATCCAGCTTAGCTGCGGCGATGTCGACCATCTTTATTTTCTTGCCTTGTCTTCCGAATTCACTTCTACCTTCTGCAAAACACCACGTGTGCAACAGTAACAGGCTGCCGAGGAACAAGATCCCTTAGCACCCTTCAGCATTGCCAAGGCATCCGCTTGCTCACGTGAAGCTGCCATGACTTGGGTGACACTAGGCTAAGTGGAGTTCACTTGACGTTGAACCGCAAACTCTGGACGAAGGCTGTCCGAAACTGCACCGTCGAAGCGGCTGCACTTGCCGACCACAATCGAGTGTCATTTTGAAGACCCCGCCCTTTCCCTAAACCAAAAATCTACACCCAAAGACAGATCGAGAGAGACACGCGACACTTCTCGAGAACCAACCGAGCAAACCGGAGACCCTTAACCCTAAACTGAAAACCCCGCACGCACTGACGGATCGAGAGGCGCCCTGTCAATCAGAAGGATCGGAAGGCACACGCAAAGAGAGAGTAACTTCAAGAAGCCTGAACCAGCTCCAGCCTGCGCACATTAGGAAGGATTTGTGATTCGGCTTCTGAGCTGCACTCACTGGGTGACCAGACCTCTGTGGGCCTGTGCGGATCTGGTCTCGGAATTAAAATTAGCCTCAGCGTCCGACCTCATCTGACGCAAGCAGTTGCCTGAGTGTTGACCTTTCAACGCTTTTAAGGCCGGCACGGCGTACTAATGACAATGATGCACACAGTTCCTGCTACTGCTCGCTCTTTTTAAAAACCTGCAGACTTCCCCTACGGGCTCAAAGCTAATCGGCCCAAAACGGAAGAGACCTGGTGGCTCTCCCCTGCCAACTCAGCCCGAGCCTCACGGAATCCGCAGCGACACCCTGACGGCTGTCTGCTTCACTCAGACCCGGCCTCCTTGCCACTGCTGGAGCCGCTCTCTTCCTCGGAAAGTTCATACTCCGCATCCTTCTCCTCCTTCTTCTCTTCGTCGTTGGTCTTGTTGGCCTGAGCATCCTTCTTCTGCTTCTTCTCTTGGTTTGTGGTCTTGTCGCCCTGAGCGATGTCCTTCGCGGCATCATCCTGGCCGTCCTTCACGGCATTCTGGCCATTGCTGGCACCTGTGTTGCGTGGCTCTGGATTGCTGTCGTGGACAGCAGGGGCCACCGAGGACGCGGGCGGAGACTGGCTCAGATCCACCACAAGCTTTTCCACGAGAAAGTCCATGAGGACCTGCGGTTTTGGGTAACCCAGTCGGTTTAAGGTTTAGGGTTTTGGGAATCCTTGCCCCCTGGCCTTGGCGTGCAGTGAGCTTCGGCAAACAGCCACCATGGTCACCTTGCTGCGCAACCCTGCAAGAAGCCCGTAGGGGTCTGGGCTCAGGAAGATGAGGCTGGACAGACGGAATGTGTGGAATAGCTCCTGATACACGACCACATGTTTGGACGCGAAGTGAAGGGGGAGCATGTCCTGGACACAAGCGTCACTGGCTTTGGCTTCGCGTCAAGCAGCAGTTGGCTTCGTGTCAAGCAGCAGTCACTCCTCGTCGGCCATGTCGTCGGGAATGGCTGGTTCAGCCGCCGTGTCCGAGATGAACTTGCCCTTGCCTTCAACCTTCAGCAGCACCTCCCAAGCGCCCGAAGCAAACCAGACCGACATGTAACACTATCTCTCTTGGCTTCGCCTGGGTTTTGATCTTCTTTGTCACTCTCGGTTCCAGCAGCACTGGGTTCGGGAGGGGGACCGGAAGCCATGGACACGTCGAGTCCGTGCCAGTCCTGCACACAGTGTAGCCCTAAACCCGGGACCCAATCATTGCTCCCAGACATGTGTGCAAGGCTGTCCCTATCCAGCGGTGTTCGCGCGCTTCCAGACTGCTGCCGCAAACAGCAAAGTGGAGAGACTCCCGGCCGACATACGCGCCCAGCGAGACCGCCTTGCGCTTGCGCCTGGCATCAGGCCTCGGCTCGATCCTCGGGGTCGGCGGTTCCTACACGAGACACTGAACCAGTGCCATGTGCACCATTTTTGCAAAAGCAAAGCAGCATTGTAACGGGCCCGACGCTCAAGATCTTGTTGCTGCGGCAAGAAAAGAAAGCTCTGCAAAGTACTCTGCGCCTTCGATTTGACGATTTTCCCGAGCTGTTTTCTAATCTCGCCCTGCGCTTTGGCCGAACCCATGTCAAAGACCATGAATACGTCCTGCGTATGTCTAAAGACTGAAACTGTAAACCCCTAGAACCCAACCTGAATTGACATTTCTTGTCCTTGTCTGCTTGGGCCAGCTTCTCGAAGATCCTGCACGAGTTCGTCCTCAGAGATTCTCGAGCTACGCAGGGAATATGGTGTATAGGAAGCAGACCAGGACCTGGCACGCTCCCTCGAACCCTGCCCCCTCCGACCCTCCTTTTGAACCCTCGCCTTGAGACCCCTGCCTGGCACTTCTCCTGGGACCCCCCTCGCCCCTGACCCTCTGAGACCACCGCCAAAGCACTGTATAGGAAGCAGACCAGGACCTGGTACGCCCCCTTCCCCCCTCCTTGGCCCCCCCCTCGCCCTGACCCCCTGAGACCACACCGCCGAAGCACGGGACCCCCTCAAGACCTGCCCCTACCCGAAAAGGTTTTTCGAATTTCCTGGGCCTCGGCGGCGCGCGCAAGCGTTTTAAAATCCAACTAGCATCTTGCGGGTGAGCAGCAAAACCGGCTTTGCAAATGGAGGACTTCGTGTGAAGCAGTTGTGGTTGCGCGAATAAGCCTCACTGACCTCTGTCAGCATGGAACCGTCCAGGAGCCAGCCGCGGAGCATCTGCTCCGCATTGTCGCCGGCGGGCAGGAGCTTGTCGACTGTCCTGATTGACGAAACAATTCCCTACAACCCTAGCCCTGTCACAACATATACCCAGCCCGCCGGCGGGACGCCCCATCGAGCAAAGAAATCTCAGAGGGTCTTAGGGGCTGGTGGTCAAGGTGAGCATAGATGCACCTGACTGAATGCAAGGAGATGAAATGATTCAGCAAGGTGGAACACCCCAGCGAACAAACAAATCTCAGAGGGTCTCAGGGGCCGGTGGCTCCTCAACAACCCTTAAACGAAACCCCAAGCCGAATTTATGAAGCCAAACCCTAGACCCTAAGCAACCTGAACCCTAAACCCTAAACCCTACTAATTCCATTAATGTTTTCATTCCGAGTTCCCTTGCAGGGCGGCCTCCATGCTGCCACAATCCATGACGTCAGCAACGACGAACTTGATGTATCTAAACATCATCTTCTTCGCCACCACACGCGGGTCTTCGCGGACCTGGCCCACGTTCACGGTAGAGGTCTCTGCCTGCGGCACTGCCACGTCCTCATCTTTCCAAGCATCATCAGGCTGCGGCACATCTGGCGGCTCAATGACCATGGGCGCCGTCTGCAGCGGGGCCATGTGTGTCGCCCGGTGCCTGTCAGCACACAACGCCAGCACGTGAGGTTCAAACGATTACCAGTTCTAACTTCCAGCAGAGCGGCTCATCGATGGCTTTTTTGCAAAGCTTCTGGATCCGACTGTCGCTGTATTGTGACTGCACGGAATCATGACTGGCCGCCACCCCATAGAACTCCGGGAGGTACGCATGCTCCTGCATACCTTTCAGCAACTCAAGGACAGCGACCTGCTCATTGCTCCTGCCGTGAATGTCCTCCAGAAACGACGCGTCTATGGAGCACATCTGCTTCGCATCCACAAACTTTGCCAGGAGATCGCACCAAGAGCTGTCTGCTGTGGACACGTCTTTGATGATCCGGACCATCACGCCACGCGTCGCAATCACCGCTTTGGCGCTGTCAATGAGGTCCTCCTTCTGCAGCTCGTAGATCTTGCGCCGGAAGCCGGGGTACTTCGCAGGCGTTCTTGCGCCCAAAGCGAAGGATCCTGAGCTTCGGGTTTTGGTTTTAGGGCTTAGGGTTTAGGGTTCAGGGTTTAGGGGTTAGGGGTTTCGGGCCCTCGGGCCCTCAGGGCAAGCCTTTAGGGTTTGGGGCAAGTCCCTTGTAAAGCAAGGAACGAACCATCCAAGCAAACTCCTCGGGCTTGGAAGCTAGCCCGAGCACGCGGCACGCAATGCTCCAACGGCTTGCCCAAGTGGGGCCGAAGTCGTCGTGGTGCTGCAGCATTTTGAACTCATCCCAGACTTCTGCTTCCACGCAGCGCTGCCGCAGCCGCAAAAGTTTCGCTATCATGTCTTTGCTGCTCACCTGCCACAGAAGCTCTGGGTTTAGGGAGTTTTTAAATTTTAGGTATTTAACTCTTTGACTGCCCAGCCTTGCTGTCTACGTGGGCAAAGCTCAGCTTCCTGTCCCTGAGCCGGGCCTGTCAGGTAAACCCAACAGCAGATTTGACATCCTCAGCTCACTGCTGCCTGGAACTCCTCGAAGAGGTCGCCCGGGCCCGAAGGCTTACCGAGCGATTCGTGAAGTTTCTGTAGCCTTGGCTTGAGCTTGTGTCACAAGCCGCGGGTGCATGGCAAGCGAAGGCAAGGCCACATGCTGACGAGGGGCATGAAGAGACGATCTGCCAACCTGCAGGAGAAATGATTCCCCTCCTGGCCGCGGCGGTGGGAAACGCTGGTAGCAGGAACCCGAGCCTGTACCCTAAACTGATAACCTGAATTTCTGGACTGAATTCCTTTGTGATTTATCTGTGTTTTTCGGTGTTTTGCATATGTGTCTGTCTTGGAGTTGTTACAGGGGAGAGGGAAGAGGGGATGGGGAGAGGAGATGAGAGGGGAGCTCCCCCCTGCCCCCCCGAGAAATTAGGACACTTCCAAGCCGAAACCCTTTCAGTGCCTCGCTCGAGGTTCGTATTACTTCCTCTCCGCGGCGATGAACAAGCCACCAAGACTCCACCGAGTCTGAGCTGGCCCGAATGAAGCTGAAGCGGTGAGCCTCAAAATTCGGGACTGCTCCAACCTTATTAGAAATTAAAAACAACCCTCGTGCAGTAGGCCTAAACCCTTTCTCCCAGCAGCGGCTGCACGCGCAGCGAACAGCTTGGCTCGCTCCTCGCCGGCTGCCACTGCCGCATCCCACTCAAAGATGAAGGCAGCAAGTTGGACTACCCGCGACACGGGTGTCAAGTCCCCCCTGCAATGGTTAGGTGTGCAGGGCTGGAACCCAAGCCCTGAAACGTTATTAGGTGTGCAGGGCTGGAACTCAAGCCCTGAAACGTTAAACCCGAGCCTTGCACTGTCATCTGTGAACAGCACCATCGTTTCCGGCAGCTCGGGCGGGTTGTCGCCCTTGTACCAAAACTCACGGCTGGCCGAGATGTCACGCAGGCCCACCCCGGCGCCGGCTGGACCGGGGCACGACCACTGCAAATCTCCGAGCACGCCGCAGCCCTGCGGATTCCTGGTTGGTCTATGCGCAAAAGAGTTCAGGGATGTGGTTCCGGGTTTGGCCAAAAAAGGCTTCAGGTTTTGCCAAAAAATGTATTAAGTCAGAGCCCGGGCACAAAGCATCCTGTGGAATGTCACTGCCACGCCAGTCAGCGGCCAGCGCTGTCACGCCGCTCACCGGGAGTGGCTCGGCGCCGCTCTCGACCCACATCTTGGATTGCTTCAAGCGATCCACGCACTGCCGCAACTCCCGCCAAGCATCAGGCTCAGCAGGAGCCGGCATGGCCCCCGCCGCGTCGGCCTCGGGCTTCTTGGCGCCGGACCTGCGCCTTGACATCGCCAGGACCCAAACCTCTAGGAGCAAACCAACAGTGAACCTGAGAATGCATCGGAGAAAATGCAAAGCACAGAGTGGTTGCAACAGCACATGCACTATAGAGCTTGCTAGAGCAGAGGATGTCATAAGTTGCGCTTCTCCTTTGTTTCCTTCCTGAGCGCCAGGTCGATTCCCCACGACTAGTGCGCGCACACATCGAAGTGGGTCAAAGCCACCTGTCTAGGGTTTAGGGTTTCGGGTTTCGGGTTTAGGGTTTAGGGTTTAATCCCTCCGAAGCAAAACAAATCAAAATCTGATCCGAAACATGACAAAACCATCAACGATCAGCGACAATCTTCCACATGGTGAGGGTTTAGGGTTTAGGGTTTAGGGTTTAGGGTTTAGGGTTTAGGGTTTAGGGTTTAGGGTTTAGGGTTTAGGGTTTAGGGTTTAGGGTTTAGGGTTTAGGGTTTAGGTTTTAGGTTTTAGGGGTGGGAGCCCAGTGCTGCCAAATGGCTTCGTGAGACAACTCAGGAAGTCCCACCAGGAAACCACCCTGCCCCGCACCTTCTTAAGCCTCTTCTGCTTCGATGCCGCATCCTTCCAAACCGGAATGAGGGCTGTTTTGCGCGGCCTTGGCTGCATTCAAGGGGGACGCTATTATGAAAAGTTTTCCGGCTATTCGGCATCCTATGTTTTGAGGTTCGCTATAATGAAAAGTTTTCGGGGCGGGACTGTTTTTTTTTAATGGTTTTGAGGTCCCAAAATATCTCAAAAGCTGCTGAGAGGTGCACAACTCAATATACTTCCTGACCCCTTCCCTGCCTGACTGTTTGGGGGCTCGTTTCATTCAGGCTCCTTGTCTGTTGCGGGGCGGCGGGGTTACATTCTTCAAGCAGGTCCAACATTAGGAAACAAAACCAAACCAAAAAAAAAAAGTCGCCCGAGAGCTGCGAATGTAGATTTGGCGGGGGGGGGGGGGGGCCCCGCGATGCGACGGGCGTGCCGGTCACCGCTGTAGCAGTGGGGGGGGGTTCCCCCCCCCCGCACTGCTACGTCCCATTTGACCATGTTGGCAAGGCTCAAAAAGCCAAAGCCCAACAAAATATGCTAACATAAGACCACGGCCCATAAAAAACCACCCAAAATCAGGTGTAGCTGTGGGGGGGGGGGGTCCCCCCCCCCGCAATGCGACGGGCGTGCCGGTCACCGCTGTAGCAGTGGGGGGGGGGGGGGAGGGACCCCGCCCATCTACAATGAGCAAGAACAAACCCTGGCCGAACCAAACTGCAGCCAAGTGGCAGATACTCTTTCTTGCTGCCTCGCAGAACCCAGCGCACATGCCCTTGTTCGGGGCCACCTCGCAGGATGGCATCGAGGTGGTTCAGACATCCTTTCAGCTTTTCCGGCAGCTTGGACATGTAAATGTTGTGCGGCTGGGCGTATGCTGCCCCAAGCCTGATGATCGGGGAGGGGACAGAGGCGTCCTGTCGGTTGGCAAGTAGACTCGGCCATTGCCCACTGGCGACATACCCGCCAAGCACGCGAGTCGCCAGGATGATTGAAACCTCCTTCCAACACTCTCCCTGGGCGTCGGCCGCAGGAATCTCGACGCCATTCTGGGGCCCCAAAAACCTTTTGGAAGGTTTCCGGCTCCACGCACACCCACACGAGCCGCTTGCAGTCCATGGCAACCTCCTGGCTTACGCCATTCAAGAACTCCGAGGCACTGTAGAACACAGAACCTGCAAACGAAGATACCCGGGCCAGCTGCTTCTTCGCACGCGTCTTCAAATGGACACAGGAACCGAGGATGACGAATGTGCAGGGTCCCGGGGCTAGTTCTTCCAACTGCTCGTGCAATTGTCTCATCTCTATCCTCTGGAGCTTCTCTTTGTCCTTTAGCACGTTCCTTTCATGCTCTGACAACTTGGCGGCAATGCCATGACCGGGACCATGAACGAAGTCCTGTTTGAGCTCCGCAGCTTTTGCCTGAAGTATTGCCCGCAGCTTCTCTTGCTTAGGAGAGGCACGCCGTCTTGCTGCGGAGTCAACGACTTGCTGAAGGTCTTCCAGACCTTCCTCGGCATCTGGCTGCTGCAGCGAACGCCGCTGTGCGTCCCGCTGTCTCTGGAAAGACGCCAAGCCCTTGGATTTCAGCCTCGAGCAGAAGGACTTTCGTGGAAGTCGGTCCCGTCTCGTGTTCCGACCTTGCCCACCATAAAGCTTCCGGTACTTGTCCAGGATTTTGAAACCAAGACTGGATGGCTGGTAATTGCCCTTTGAGAAAAAAACCACCTTGTCCAGGTCCGGGCAGTCGCAGAAGACTTTCAGATAGCAATTCCTGTTTTCCTCTGACATACTGGCCTTGATGGAGCCTGCAAGACGGAGAACCGCCACAATCGCTTGCGCACAACTCAACGAGCATCGAACATGAACATGCGCCTGAAAACAGCCGCAGTGTGCTAAAGCTGGTCTCGATCTCCGAAGTGGCATCGAAGATTGCTAGCATGAAGCGAACCTGAGAACTCTGAAAATACCACGCGCACACACGCACAAACACACGCCCGTGCTCCAAGGAAATGCCATGTCACAGACTGTGGTCTCAGTGAAGGACGGCAGCTTTCAGTGATTTCAACCGATCAAAGCGCTGCATAGTCATGGGCCAGTAGGCTCTCTCAGACCTGCGCACCACCCAACCCGCCTGCTCCACCTCACGCGCTAAACCTCTACTACCATATCTCGGCCAGCGCCTGGCAAGAAAGACCGCCGTGGGTCGTGCGACGAGGTACTCTTCGCGCAGCAGCGCAGCACGTGTGTGTCCAGCTGCAGCAGCTTGGCCAAAGGATCCAACACCTCGGGCCTTAGTGCGTGCAGGCTCGCGCAAGGCGCCACCGGCCAGGGAATGAGAGCAAGTTTGCCATTGCCGACTGACGAGGAACAGGGTGGAGTCTGATCTGTTGGCCGTCCACCAGACCACGTCGAAGGGGCTCAGAGCAGACCCAACACCAGCTTGATGCCAAGTCTCCACGGACTCGAGAAACAAGTCCGACACGTTCTTGATGGACCCCAATTCGGGCGCCAGCAGAGCAGCATACTCTTCGTCGGGCACGCCTGCGGTTTAGTTGAGGGTTTGGGGTTTAGGGTTTAAGAGTTTAGGGTTTAGGGTCTAGGGTCTAGGGTTTAGGGTTCGCGAGCCTTCGTAGTGAAACAATAGGCGACCATCCTGGTACACGGCAATGTCCGAGCTGCTGCCTTGGGCAGCTTATTATCATGCGAATTGCAGACGCCCAAGCGTTCTCACAGCAAGAAGTTTTCTTATCATTGTAGGCTAAGATGCTCAA